CTCACCCCAGCCCCTGTTAACTGTTATCCGTTGCGTAACGCGCGTCAGCAGCGGCTCGTGAGCGCGCTCGTGCTGCCGCGCAGGGGCGGGACGCGGAGCCCGTCGGCGCGGGGACGCCGGTACCTGGAGGCGGCGGTTCCCGTCCTTCTCGGCCGCGGTGGTGGTTTTTTCGCGGCTACGCCACAGACCGACGTGGGTATCCTCGCGTTTATTTCTTCGTTGAAATTTTCCACCTGGTGTCACCCGCCTCAGTTCTTAGACAGGCGATGGCTTCCGGTGCGCAGTAGCTGAAGATGGCAACGTTAATCGTCAGTTGCTCCCAACCTTTTATTCCTTGATGTATTTACTCCTGCGGTGGCTGTACCAATTTTATTGTTGTAGGAGGGAAAAGCAAAGCACAAGATTAAGAAGGCTTTGTTTAAAAACAAAGCCATTAAAATGAGTACTGTGGCTTAGTTCTAGATGTCTGACTTTACATTGTGTTTTGTCGGCTGTTGTTGCATACGGTTGGTGGAGACCTATTCAGATTTAGTATTAATAGTTGTGGAACTGTGAGCTCAGTTCTGGCTTGCGAGTAGAGCTGTTTGTTATTAGCAAAGAATTTATGTATTTCAGCATGAGCGAACCCGAAAAATCTTTTTTCGTGCTTTTTTTTTAGAATACTGTTTAAATACTTTAATGATATTTAACATACACGTTAAAACATATACAATATAGAAAATACAGCTGTATATGTTAGGAGGGTCACAGTATTCAAGATGTCTCAATAGCATTATGAAAATGAGGTGTAAACAGAACAGGGTGTCAGCCCAGAGGATGAGATTTAGGTTGGGAAGGTGCTTAACGGGGTGGTAAAGTCCGTGTTTACTTGAAGTATTTTCAGTGAAGTTGGTGAGGAGAGACTCACAATATTTGGTGATCAACTCCGTTCCATTTTTCTTTCTAAAGCCTATTCCCTTCTGTGCAGGGAGTTAGGAAGATTTGAGACAGCTGGCAAAGCATGAAAGAGGTAGGGTGTGGCATGTTTTCAGAAAGGAGGGGATTGTTACCTAAGCTCTTGCTGTTTGATGTAACATCTCCATGTAATTTGAAGGTTAAGAGTAGACTGATGTCTTCAAAACTCTAGTAGTTCAGTCCTGACTCCCAAAATGTGTTGCGGCTCAGCACTGATGATTGTTAAAATTGTAATTGAAAATAGGTTATGTGGTTTGGAGGTCAGCTACAAACACGTACAACTATGGAGTGTTCCTGTCATGCTTTCAACAGCTGGACAGTGTCCTGGAAGCTGGATGTGACTAAAGAGCATTTTTTAAAAAAATCTGCGTGTGTTATATATTAAAATATCCAAGCATCAGTCTTGCTCCAAAAACTTGAGTTACTCATCTTTTGAAATCAGGAGGTTGAACTATTCTGAAATTTAAATGTGGGTTGAAACTGCTGAATTGAGAGATTTGTGTGAAGAAACATTTTAAAAGAAAGATATGCTCTGTTCCACCGCTGTGTTGCTAAAACTATTGTAATAATTTGAACTGTGCTGTCATGGAAGTGCACAGTCCGTTTCTCTTTCATCAATTTAATGATTCACTGATAGTAATTTTTCCCTCCATCGGAACAGCGATAAGGCTCCTGTGAGCTCTCTCAGCAATCTAAGAGTGTGAGGCCTACATTATGTAGTTGAGTGTAATACTTTTGGGGTTTAGCAATTACAAATAATGGATTGGCTTTCATAACTTCTTTGAAATGAAGTTCATTTGGTTTTGGCAAAGCAATGATGACACAAGAGCGACTTTCAAAAGTCTTGCAGTTCATATCGGTGAAGTATGCAGAGGGTACAGGTCATAGGTATTTAGTTTAGATTTTAAGCTGTTAAAACCTAAGATTCTTAAAGCTTCCAATGTGTTTCAGATCCAATGGCTTTCCCACCATCATACAGTGACTTGGGAAAGTCTGCCAGGGATGTATTCAACAAGGGATATGGTAAGTAACATGACCTTTCGTATTTTTTTCTTGGGCATCTTGAAAAATTACAATAAAAACATTAGTATGCCAGAGATCCCCTAAATACCTTGTGCTAGGAATTCAGCAGAGGCCTAAATCATCTAGCCCTTTCTGAGTTTGAAATTTAGACATGTGTCATGAAAATGCTACAGTAGGCAAAGAGTTAGAGGGGAAAGTTATGAGTTTGACCCTGAGATGCACTTCAGAACAGTCTCTGAAGAATGCTGCGTTTTTTACCTTCCAGTTTTTACCTTTAGAGGCATTAAATCAAACTCACACAGATTGCCATAGGAGACCATATGTGGCAACAAACAGTTCCTGAGGTGGAGTGATCTTTATGTTAAGCAGACTAGCCTGTTGTCATAGCTATAGTGGAAATAATTTCACAATATTTGCATTTCTCTTCAAGGAATTTAAATGGAGAAATTTTGGTATTAGTCCCTTTTCTGGGAGCAGTACTAAAAATGTTGACGTTTTCAATCTGGTTTTGTGCATGCGTAATAAAGATTGCATTTGTATTCCAAATCCGTATGCTTCATAAAATTAAAAAGCGCTCTGGTCTGGTCTCTGCCACTGTGGAGTTCAGGCTTTGCTAAAATTCATTTCCCCACTTTAGTGTCAATTGTTTCCGACTTTACTGCTCTCTGCATGGGCCAGGTATTTCCTTAGACTCATAGCAGATTAGAAAGAAAAGGAAGAAAGCAACGGTATCTTTGTATACAGCACTGGTCAAAG